ACAGGGTGACCGAGAGAGCGAGTGCATGGCGTCACAGCAATAGACCGGGACAAAATACAAGGAACGAGGAATCGAGGAACAAGACTATCGCAAACAAATGGAACGAGAAAAGGAAAAGGAAAAGAAGAGAGAAAAAAAAAAACAGATGAGCGAGTATTGTGCAGGTTGAGACATTTGTTCTGGCTGGGTGGTGGGCAATAGGCGATGGACGATGAGTGATGGGCTGGGGAATATCATGCAGAGTCTGCTGTGCTTCAAAGAAGAAATCGTGTATCAAACATGGGTGGGCGAGAAGGAAAGGCCGTGTACAAGTTCATGAGCTGGTCAAATAGCATATTTCAGGTTCCACTGTACGCTGCTCTCAAGCTAACATGGCAATATGAACGATCGGACTCGTGCAGCAAACTCTCCACCCAAGATATTACCATCGTAGCCACCATTCCCTGCCTCTGACTTGCAAAATACTGCACAAATGGTTAGGCATGGTCGTATGTGGTTGCGTTTCAGCAATCATGACCCCACCAGTATTAGAAGATGCTATGTAGCTTCGACTCTCAACATTCTCGGTATGGCTTCAAGCTGCTGGACCACAACGGAGACACCATGTCTTAGGTCTGGCTGATGATGTCCACACTCCGGAGGCAATTCTCATGATTATTGATGGGTCCTGAACCCCCCGAGTATCCCATGCTAGGACCACATTGGAAGCCAGCCAGGGTTGGCGTGTTTGGCAAAGGCGTGTTCGTGGCCAACATCAACATGACGGAATCCTGGAGCGAGCTGGTGTCGACAACTCGGCCACCATGTGTTTCTGCGAAGGATAATATGGGGGTGCGGCCTCTGCGGCGTCGGAAAATCAAGGAGCGAGGCTGGCTCTCGGAATCACCAGGCTCGGAATCGTTGGTGCTCGAATTTGTGGATGTAGAGTCCTCGATGCGGGCTTTGGCAAGGGCTTTGCGCACAGTTTGTCGGAAACCACTGCGTGTGCTGGATGAGGGACAGGTGTAGTCATTGTGCTGCCGTCTTTCTGCGTTGTCTATCATAAAGAACGATCTTCTCATATTCTGATATTCGGGATCTGGGTGGTCCACAACGATGTCGGGGATGCTGTGAAAGGACTGCAGGGTAGCAGGATTGGTCTGAGCGTAGAATCGAGGCTGAGGGAGTTTGGACCCACCCATTTTTGCAACGACACGGGCATCAGATACTCTGCGGTTTTGCAACTCCCAATCAGGTGGGAATTCGATTGGCTTGTTCAAGACTTGATTGAGAGACTGGTATGCGCGCTCGCGGTAGGTTGGCCGGCATGTAGGGCATATTTTGAAGGTGCACGGCTGGATATATGGCAGCCTGGCGTGCTGTTGGGGGAAGTGTGCTGGGGTCGAGGGTTGTGGTCGGGGAGTGGGAGGAGGGATTGATGGCTCCGACATCCAGACTTTTTGCAACTCTTTCCAGTCATACGCCGCCTTTATTTCTTCGTCGAGCTCGGTTGAGGAATTGGTCGAAAATGTAGTGCTCTGAGGCAGAGAGGCTACAGTTCCATCAGCGTCGCTGGATGTAGTAGACGCGGTAGTGAAAGTCGACGCCGTTGTAGGGCGGCTCTCATCCTGCTCTTGCTGGCCGAGGACAAGATCCCTGACCCGTTCCTTCTGCTCAATCAGCTTCTTGACTTCTTGCCTAGTATATTGACCTTGTCCAATGGCTTTGATGATTGAATTGCTGAGAGATTGATTGTTGACATCTCGACCGAGTGTTCGACCTTCCGGAATGACTGGCTCGTCTGTGAAGTCGGATTCGGGCAAGAACCCACCGGTGTCTTGTGTACATCGATAGAGCCAGCCAATTTTAGGATGCTTATGGCACAAGGAGCATTTGAAGGAGCCATAGGGGTCATAGAGACGGGTCATGGTCATGTGGGTGCACGGGTTGCGTCTCTCGGGACTGAGAATGTTTCGGCGGAGGAGAGGCATGGCGGGAGGAATGCGAGGCAATTGGAGTGCCGGGAGGCATCACATTCAAACACCAGACAGACCAACCAGTGCAGAGAGAGGCTAATGGGCGAGGTGGTGAGAGATGAAGAAGTGAAGGGGTAAAGCCAACGATGGGATGGGGGGTGCAATAGCAGGAAGGAGCAAGCAGTGGTTGGCTTTTCACCAACTCTCTCTCTCGTCTCCTCTGCGCGGCCTGATGGCACCGCAAGCCCAGTCTCTCTTTACATGACTATTTATCTCATCTTCCTCTTTACCTTTTATCAATGTAGCTGCGACCAGAGGCACCAGAGGCTCACCTTGCTGCACATCTCCCGCTCTTCTGTGTCTCTCTTCCCTTACTCCGTCTCTGCATTTGCTCATCTACCGAGATCTCACAAAATCCATAGGCACGCCGAATACAGGTCTCGGGGGTGTTGGACATCTTAACCTCTGTTCAACAATATAGAGATGAAGTGAGAGGGTCTCCATTGAGGTCGGTCATCGCCATGTTTATGTCTTGGCAGCATGGGCGACGCTGAGTGGTGGACTTTAGGCCTGATAGAGTTGACTGGTTGGACTCGGTTGGCGCGTTTGTGCATCGAGATTGCCAGCCAGCCAGCTTTGCCAGCTTGTCAACCCACCCATTGCCAGCTCACTCACTCACAACGAAGTGCTCGTACCGAGAGCAATCATTACTCCTACTCCATCTCTCGGTCCCTTCTCCCCCTGCAGCTCCCTGCCACCCACAGACACCACTGACGCTACGACTGCCTGCGCTCTCTCCGTCCTCCGCCTCTTCCTACTCCCGTCCTCCCAATTGACTTCGTCCTCGGCCCGCCTCTTCTCACGGAGACGCGTTGATCCCCCCCTTCACCTCCTTCTCTGTCCTTCACAATCAAAACCCCCGATCATAATTCCTCCTGCTCACGGACCTTTTTCCATTTCTCAGAATCACGCCCGTAAGTATCACGTTCCCTCTTCCTAGCCACATCCACAATTTCAAGCCTCGCGATCCCCACCATACACCGGAATCCTTTGCAGGGCCTCGGCCCCGATGTTACGTCTTTGTCAACAACTCATCCCGTCAGCGCGCTGATTGTGTCTGCTTCTATCCTGCATCTACCTTACGCCTTTGGCCGGACGTCTGCTGACACTACCTACTACAGTATCCATTGCTTTACCTCCGAGTCTACTGTTTCCCTGAGAGGGCGCTGCCATGTCCGTTAAATTCGAGAAAGAGCAGGTCCGAACAACCACGGCGCCCGTCGCGCCTGGTGGTCGAGATGAGAGTACCGCGCATAAGATTGGCGAGGCCTTGACTGGTGGGAAACAACAGACAGGTTATCTAGCGGTTCGACTTCTCATCTCACGCACTCGCTGTCGAATGCGACACTTATTGCGCAATAGGCATACCTAAGACAGCTTCAATCGAACCCTCTGCGCACAAAGATGCTGACCTCCGGCACGTTATCCGCGCTACAAGAGCTGTTGGCTTCATGGCTCGCCCACGATAAGAGCAAGCATGGTCACTACTTTTCCTCCAGAATTCCAAAGATGGCGGCCTATGGCGCATTTATCAGTGCTCCGATGGGTCACGTCCTTATCGGACTGCTCCAATGGGTTTTTGCTGGTCGCACCAGCCTGAAGGCAAAGATTCTTCAGATCTTGACCAGCAACTTGGTGGTGCGTCCCACACAGCCACATATCTCACTTGCAACGCTCGATATCTGACAACCTTTGACTTAGATTGCGCCCATTCAAAACACCGTGTATCTCGCCTCCATGGCCATCATTGCCGGAGCCCGCACCTGGCACCAAGTTCGCGCTACCATCCGCGCCGGCTTCTGGCCTGTCATGCGCGTCAGCTGGATTACCTCTCCGCTGGCGTTGGCTTTTGCTCAGAAATTCCTCCCCGAGCAGACTTGGGTGCCTTTCTTCAATGTTGTGGCTTTCTGCATTGGCACATATATCAATACTCACACAAAGAAGAAGAGACTTGCTGCTTTGAGGAAGAAGGTAGTTCTACTCGCTGCATTGGTGCTGTATGAGATGTGGCTAACGAGATGTATAGCATTACGGTGACGGACGAAGCTCTTCGGGACGTCCGGACGAGCGATACTAGACGTTGTCCGCGCATCAATGGTCATCCAGCTTATACGACCGGCTCGAATCTTCATCGAAAAGCCAAAGTTGGGCGACCATGGGTCGTTATAAACCCAGGAAGACATGTGAAGTGACGAGGGATCAAATCAACGTGACTTAAATTGGGATCGTGTTCGGAATCTGCAGGGGGAGCTCGCAAAATACCAACCGCCACATGGGAAATGTAGGTTTGTCGGTCGTCTGTGCGTTCCTTTGATCAGGTCCAGGGTCATCTGAGGAGGAGTACATTAATGCTTTTCGGGGCACCTCTTGAGCATGTGCCACGTTGCCACGTTTTATCTGCATCGGATGTTGAGACTCTGCCTATCAACGGTTTCTAGTGCCATACATAGTATCTATCATTTTTTGCAACAGAAACGAAAGAAATTGAGGACTCCGGGGTGTGCTGCCTAGTTGGTGTCATGTGTCGCGTTCGACTTTGTTGTTGAACCCGTCAGGATGTTCGACCATGGTTCTTTAGTCGTCAGTCGTAGAGCCTGATTCATTTCATGTTGGGAAGATGCGAGCACCCAATAATCCCTCGTCGTACCGTCTGTATATATTCCCTTTGTCTCTAATTGTGCCAGCAACCCCGCGCACCTCGTATAGCAGTCCAGGTCGTTTTGGTAGGACGCTATTGAGCGGTTGTCTGTCATTATTTGCCGGCACCCACGCACTGACACACTCAGACACGCACCTAGATACCCAACCCTACCGAGATAAGTGCCGAGTGGGCGGCGCGTCGTCGGAGCATCTCATGTCAACAGCCCATGCCATCCATCTACACATATAGCTCTCGCTTGAACCACGGTAGCGGAATGTTCGCCACCGCTGGAATTGTTCTCGAGCCTGGCGGAGAGGTCGGCAGAAGCAGATAGGTAGGCGGGTCTACGCGACGTAGGAGTACGTGTTGCCCTCTTCTCGCTCCATGTAGTCCTTCTCTATCAACCTGAGTGTGCACGCAGCAAAAGTTAGCATTGGTCTCGTATCTCTAATCGGGATCGCGGTTCCACAGAGCCCCAGGTTAAGGCGGAAAAGGGAAAAAGGTAAGTAAGGACAGGATTTGGGGAGGGGCAAAAAGGAGGCAAAGATACGCACTTTTCGATATTCCGCTTAATGTCCGCCTGGTCCAATACACCCCTGGTCATGGTGGCTTTGATGACTTCGACAATCAGCTCGTTGTGCCCAATCTTCTTCCGGCTCTTCATGATGCGCACGATCGCCGCCTGCGTCTCGTAGTGCCGGTCCGCCGCCACCCGGATGTGTGTCTCTTTGTTCTCTTCCTTGGTTTCCTTGAGTTGGATCTGGTTGATCTTGATGCGCAGTTTCTGGTCGGTAAACGACTGTGAGAAGGTGAATGTGTCTGTTTCGTTCACGTCGCGACCCTTGGGGTGCTTGCGGAGGACTTGATACTTGGCGCACGCCAGGGACTGGAGCGTTCTCTTCAGCTCGGCATCGACCAAGCCCGAGGCGGCTTTGATCTCGTTGTACGTCAGGTGTTTGTCTGCCGGGATGTCGTTGAAAAGCAGAAGCACGACGGCCTGGAATCCCGACACCATGAGCTCCTTGTTTCCCTTGGGGAATTTGGCTCGTAGCTGACAGTGTGCCAAAGAATGTTTCCAGGTCAGTTTACGACCAGAGTGTTTGGCCTTGTAGTGCGTCTCAAAATCCGACATGACTTTGGCAATGTGCGGAGGAATGTTCACCGCCACGTCTGGGTAAGTTGGCCAGGCGGCTGCAGAAAGAACATTGACATGCAAATCTGGCAGACCCGGAGCCCTGCCGCCACGGTCATCCATGAGCTGATTATAAGACATCATCTCTTCGCGAGCTAGATCCATGTCCTTGAACATGGACTCCAGATTGTGCGTGAATGCCGCACCACACTCATTTTTCAGGCGGGTGAGCATATTCCGTTCGGCATCGAACGAGGCGCTCCGACCCAAGAGTAGACGGCGAGCTAAGTCTTTTTTATAGAAGGCTTCGAAGACGGCTTTACCATGGACGAAACGGAAGAGGTCTAATGCGTCAGACAGGTGTTGATTGATTTCAGCGTCCTCGTCAGCAGCGCCATCATCGAAATCATGCTCTTCCTCAGGCTTGGATGGATCTTGTTTGTGTGTTTGAAGCCGGGGAACGGCTTTGACGCCGCCTTTGAGCAGAAGGTCGACATGCTTCGCAATCATTTCTCCTGGCTTAGCATTATCCGTGTCCCAATTTGACTGGGATTTTTTGGTCTTGTTGATGAATGTCTCAAAGGCTTTGTGAAGGGCATTGCCCAATGCCTCGTTGCCATGGAAGGAGTATTTATGGTAATGATCCAGCCGCCGCTTGAAATCAAGCAGCCTAATGACCATTTCGGACTCCCTCTGCTCATCAAACACAATCAAAGACCCTTCTGTTTCAACATACTTACTAAAACTCGGCGCAATCAATTCTCCGTGTCCTTTGCGCTGCAGCAAAGTGTACAGTCGTTCTAGCTCTGCTGATTTGTCGTCCTCGAGAAGATCCAAGATGCCGTCCTCATTGGTAAGCGTTTCGAGCTCCTCTTCCACGAGGATGGTATCAAAGAGGCGTGACACTCGGATTCTCGTGTTGCGGTCCAGAGATAAGGAATCGCACCTCGCCATCTCTCGGGCCAGAAGAGCAGTACAGTTATTGACATAATCACCTAGTGAGTCCTTGTTAGACTCTGTATCTCTCCATGCTTTGAAATATTCTTCCGTAGTGGCGCAAAGCGTAGGTTCAAGGTCGCTGGTATAAATGCTCAGCTGATGGAAAGTGTCGACCGCTTGGCGCAGGAGCCTGGCGTCAGTCTCAATGAGGTTTCCTCTCCTATCGGATTCGATCAAAGCTATGATGCCTTGAAGTGACTTCTGCCTTATAAATGGGTCATAAAACACTGAAGACCTGAACTTGCTCAAGCCCATTTGTAAGACACTCATCTTGTCTGGAGTACGAAGGCAATATGTCTGGTCCATGTAGAAGAAGATCTGCCGGACGGTCTGCAGTTGTTTCTGCCAAGTCTGCCAGGCATTGACGAGTGCTCTGAGGACGTCGACGTCTGAAGAATTTGACTCTTCGCGCCGGATGCGATCTCTGACATTGCCATTGAGATGGGTCTCGCACTTCGTGCTCAGATGCTCATAGAGGTCCGCACTGTGGCCGTGCCGGCACGTATGTTCTGCACCTTTGTATAGTTCTTCTAACGAATATGGATCCTTCTCGTTCTTGAATATGGCATCGAGAGCTTTGTCATTCTCTTTCCATGTCTTTTCAAAGTACGCCCGTGTATCCAAGCGCGTGGCAGCCCGTAGGTTCTTTACAACAAGCTTCTTCGGGCCCGTCTGTGGGTTGAAAGGGACTCTCTGGTTCGCAAACGCTGGTTTGGTCCTGCCGTTCTCCGGCACAGGGCTTGAATCGTTGAGGTGGTCTTTCTTAAGCCTCGTTGAGTTGAATTCGTACATACTGGCAAAAGCATCTTTGGGGTGGCGAGCCCCAGAGGACTGCATCTTGTTATCAACTTCCATATTTCCCTCTCCCTCAAAGTATTCGCCTCGAGTCCTTCTATTCGCGTTGCTGCTTCGCTGGGGTGAAAGCAGATCAGGCACAGAGATTCGGTGTCTCTTTGAGGCTCTTGCGGAGGGACTGCCCTCGCCAGCGGCCGCTGGCCGTTTTGGAGAAGAGTGGAACCGGGGTTGAGATGCTGTTCCTCGATCCGGAGCTTTCCCTTTGCGTGGCGTAGTCATCTAACTTGTGCTTCAGTTGCCAGACGACATTCAGGTGGGAGGATCGAAATACTGACGGTCTGTCGTGGGCTGCGGGATGGACGCCGCTCTGTCGGAGTTGAGTTGGGGTTAAGCAGCGGGCTGATTCTCGGAGATCGACACAGAGCAACACCTGTGCGTGACCGAAGTGGTGCACGGTGCCGTTTTCTGAAGGCGAAGTGCAGACGCGTCGATCGCGTAAAGTGGTTTTTTAAGAGGGGCAAATACCAAACACTCGAGAGACCCGACAAAGTACCTCATACACAACTCCTACAATTGAGGCAGAGAGAGAGAGAAGTCCACAATTCAGTGAGCAACACAGCAAAGCGTCAAGATGAATTCCATGTCCACGCCCCGAATCCTCCCTGCTCACCTCCATGCATTTGCTCCGAATGCCACCTCCCACAACACAGTACGCATGCTGGGAATCGTAAGTCACGTCAACGGCGATCAGGCGACGTTGACCTGCGGCTCGGACGCGGTGACAATTCTCCTGGCGAGGTATGGATCGCGCGCCCCGATATGTGTGCCCATCTAGCGAGACTGCGAAATCTGACGGAATCATGTAGAGACTCCCATCTCTCGGTCGGCTCCATGTACGAAATCGTGGGCAAAGTTACCAACACAGACGGCGGGCACGGCTTGGGTCTACGAGTCCTCAGCAGCACGGAATGGCCTCGAAATGAAAACGGACAACTTCCAGACCTGAAGTTGTTCGAGGCAGTCGTGGATGTCACCCATCGGTACAAGAACATCTTCTACGGTGACTCCGAGTCCGGCATGGATGGGGGATATTGAGACAAACATGAGAGCAGGGCATTGAATCGCTAGGACTGAAACTACATCATGTTGACCGCATGTCTGAAATGCACTATAGCAGAAGCGCAGGTCATAATGGTACGAAGCTGTCGAGGTATTTTACGGCGGATCGGGTCGTCGCCCGTAGAAATGTTCCAGACCATGGAAAATGGAGAATTAGAATATGGGATGTCAAGTCTGTTTTAAACAGGATATGATGATTTTCCCAACGAGCTGGATTTCGCCTTGCTCAAGGGGTCGAACGGGCCACTACTGGTCTTTGACGCTATATGCTAAGACGACCACAAAGACAACATTACCGATGTCCTCCATGAAACTGTGCCTGAGTAACACACGTGTCATAGGCACCTGATGTACAGTAGCCAACCTGGGCAGATGTGGAAAATTGCAAATTAATCGAAGTCGCTGTCTCAAACACAACCTCCTCAGTTGCCACTGAAGAACACAAGTCGTCCTAGGATCTCATTTCGCGTTCTGTCTTCTTGGACTTCTCCGCACTCCTTGAGGCACAGCTCTTGGAATAGCCAATGTTTCAGGGTCAGGATATGCCGATTGCCCAGACTGATAAGCTGCATTCACATCAACCAAACTCTCCCACATCGAATTGACGCCGTTCTCCACGTCCGTGGTGTCGAAATAGCTGAAAAAGCCTGGTGGGGGCGAGCTCGTCATGGCGGTGTGGGTGAAAGGATCAATCAGATCACTTGTCAACTGATCTGTTGTCATTTCCGAGAAGGAGAAGTTCAAGAGCTGATCACCCGATATCGGGGAAGAATTTTTGAGAGACGGCAAATCAGGAAAGTCGAATGATATAGCCTTCTGAGGCGTTGCCTTTTTCTCACAGCCCCGTAAGAGAGCCTTGTCTTCCTCCGTCAGGTTCATGCCTAGTGGGCGATCACTGGTCAAGGCTTCATGAATCGAGCGCGTGAAAGGTGTCATTTGGTGCACGTCTTTTTGCCCAGTACCAAGCAACGCAGTAAGAGCAGGATGGAGGTCCTGCTTGGCCTTTGGGGTCCGGAAATGAGGGGATTGCTCGAGGTTGGGAGACAACATGGCACCGAATTGACGTTGCGGTGTCTTCGAGGGTGTCTTAAGTAGGATTCGTTCAGATCGTCTCTTGGGCGTTGGGGTCATGGGTGGTAATTGAATATCGGTGTGCGCCTCCTCGAACAGTTCCGCGAGGCCATCATCAACCACAGCAGGTACTGGCGCCACGTTCTCCTTTCCGTCGACTTGCAGTTCAACCGCTGCTGCCGGTACTGCGAAGGCATCCCTAGTTTTGTTGAGTCTGGGGCTCCGTCTCACAAAAGCAGGCAAGGAGCCATGCATGGCTGTACTTGGCGGCCCAGAACCAGAGTACACCTGCGGTTTGTCTGGCGACGGGAACAATTGCCTCCGGACAGGCTTCGGTGTGAGGTCGATCTCGACAGGAAAATCTTCTGACCCATGGCCACGTGTAGGACTGGATTGGACCTGTCTGCCACCAGTCTGGTGACGGGTTCCAGCCCGCAGACCTCTAGCTCCCGGATCTGCGCTGTTTGCCCGTAATGAACGCGGGATTGGGGGCAGCTGCGGTTCGCTATCGTCAGCAGCAGTATTGCCGTTCTGAGAGACTTCAGTGTCATTTTCTTCTGCATCAGGAGCTTCCGTGGCCGAATCACCCGGAGAGGAGTCGTCGCTGGCAGGACTCTGGGCATCGCTTCTGAGACCAGGATTTCCGCTGGACTTCCCAAAGGGTTTGGGCGGATTTCGTTTGCGTTTGCCTTTCTCCTTGGGATCTTTCTTTTGCCATTTCGATGCAGGCCGAGGGCACTTCTGCTTGTGAAACCACAAACCGCACGCTGAACAAGGTTAGCAACGCTTTCTAAACGACCCCAATTGACTTACGATTGCACAATGTAATGGCCTCCCAATCATCCGCTTCATCGCCTTGTCGCCTGTCCACCTTGTAACCTCGGAAGGTTTTCACACTTCCATCGGGATTGTGGTCAATGGGTTCCTTGAAGCAGCATTCACCATGATTCAGAGACGTCTCAACATCATCCCAAGAGCAATCGAAAATTTTGACATAGGCTCTTCTCCACGCCGGAGTCTCTATTGAGCCGCAATTGTCACAGAAAGGTGGCATTATTCCATTCGCAATCGCGTTCTCTAATCTCGCCTTGGTCTGCTCCTTGCCAACCTTCTTTTTGGACGCGGCCTTCACCCTCGACTCATCACCCCCAGGCGCATCTGACATGGGAATATCGCTGTCAGGTGCCCACGTTTGCGCCCGATGTAGTGCTCTGGGCGCGGGATCACTCTTCGGAACAAGAGGTGCAGGGGCAATCTTGCGTTGTTGCTCACGTTGCTCTTCCATGATCTGCCGGGCTCTTGGAATAGGGGCCGGAGCTAATCGTGGAGATGACATGCTGATTCGTGGCGTTGGTACTGGAGTGTACGATCGGGCTCTGGCCAGCGGCTTTGATGTGACGGGAAGCGGTGGAGGCATGATGTTATACCCAGCCTGTGCAGATTGTGCTTCGATCTCGTGACCCTCTTCAAAGACCGGAGGATATGGATCGGTTGGGCGTTGCTTTCCTTGACGAACTTCCTCATCTTGATCCTCCGGTTTATCCAGGATGAAGTCCTCAAACTGCAATAATTGATCATCTCCAAAGAGGTCTTCGAGGTTACCACTCATAAACCCTGAGTCATGTCCGGAGGAACCCATTACAGGCGGAAGGACGGGGCTAGTAACCGCTGGCTGTCGAAATTCTGGCATAACAGGTGGCGATGACGGAATATTGGCGGGTGTACTGCCGACACTCTGACCTCGAGTGTCCTCGGGCGAGGCAATGGGCACAGCAAGGAGTTCAGGCCGAGGACCCACGTCTGCTGCTGGAGATGATTCCCTAATTTGAGATCCCTGTGCCAAATTGCTTGGGGGATTCTTTCGTGGTCTTCCTGGTCTTCCTCGTGGTTTGGCTGTTTTCGAGGCGGGAATTGGTGTAGGTGGCCTCGCAGTTTCTTCATTTTGAGAATTTGGTTGAACAGCTATTGCAGGATTTACAGCAATTGGGCGATGAAGCCGAAGGCTTGATGCAGTGCTTGCAACGACTCTTAGCGACTCGGGTTGCCGTTCAATGTTGAAACTCGACTTTGTCGGCAAGTCAACCTTTGTGGTCTTCGCCCTCTTTCTTGCGGGACCTTCTTCTCCGTTCTCGTCTCCGCTGTAATATCCTGATTGGAACGATTCACGCCTGCCTTCAAAAGCCTGGCGCATTCCCGTCCTGGAATGAGGCCGAGATGAATGGCCGGACTGCCGCCCAAGTGGACCAAGATGCTGTGTTGTTGTCGGCGTTCCAGGTCTACTGCCTGACCCTGATCCGTATAGCGTCTCGCCGTTCAGCATTCTCTGCATCGTCTCTAGTCCTGAAGTATCAATCGGCGAAGCTGGCCCCTGCAATGACTGTAGAGAAGCGCTGTTACTCCACTGAGGTCGCATCCCATCTTGTGAGCTGAGACTGCCGGAGCGATATCTGGTCTGTGTAAATGCGTTGACGGGTGTAAATCGAAGTTTGACTTCCAACGTCTCTTGAGCATTTTTGGAGAATAAACCCATAATGTTTTTGGATATCTTGCCCGTGACCATGGCCTCGCTATCAGCGCCCGTGTTTTGAGCCTGACCAGATAGTGCTTTTGACAACATCCCTTGTCCGACCAAGGGTGTATCGGGCTCTGAGTAATCATATGCGTAGATCGTGTAGTCATTGTCGACGAGCGTGGTGAGTTCAGGACTGGCAGTCGTGACAGCTTCCAAACACGTCCGCAGGTCGATCACCCCGATCTGACTGACGTCGTCGATGAAAGCGGTCTGAACTTCCAAGGATTGAGGCCATCGTGCAAGGTGGTTGTCTTTTTGCTCCGAATCAAATGTGTAGAGG